AGTGTAGTGACGGATTACTACTACCATTTAATTGTGTTTATATTTTATTATTGTATATTCATTAATACAACGTAATTAAACGAGTATAGACTCCAAAAGTAAGCACATCATAGATAGTCCATTGCGCAGCTTTGCGCTTACACAAACATGCAATGAAAAACAGTTATGTGACAGGTGTGTTCAATTCTTGTTAATTTTATATACAACTTTAATATTATTGAGTTAACAGGGCTCGCTTTCTTGAACTTGGAAACTGGTTTTGTTATAGGGCTTCATCGTGTCGAAACTTGAAAAAAAAAGGGGGGGGGCAGGTGAAAGGAAACGTGGAATAAAATAAGTGTTTGTGTGTAAGGACTGTTAAGAAACTCGTGTGTCACACTGCAATCGAGTTGACCTAAAAACTAATGATTCATCTCGCGTGCTAAAACAGGGAGAATTTTGTTGTATTTTCACCCTCCTATTCATCAAAAGTATACACAGATATGCGTGAAAAAATCAGGTGGGAGTGACTACTCCCTCTGGCGGGAAACAGATAGACATACCCTTCCGTCTGTCTGTTTCATACTGTACTTGGAGAATGACAGTAATAATGATAATAATCAAGGATAATTTTGACATAGATAGTTAGTCTGGTGTTTAATTTTGCGTGAAGCTACACGAGGGCATTCTGTACTACCTGTTCCTAACTTATCAGTGATAAACTAGAGGGAAGGCAGCTAGTAAACACCATCCGCTTTGAACTCATTGGTTAAACCGAATAATAGTGTCTGACTGTCAGTCTTATAACGCATCCACGGCTCAAAAAAGAGAAGCGTAATTTTTTCGTAATAACAGGACGCGAACCACGGATCCACAGGTCAGCATGCTAACAACAGATAGTATAATATTGTATTTTTGTGTTTGGGGGAAACGATGTATATCTGGTGTTTCCACCTCCTTATATTAACATGTGAATTTTTTCAAAACGTGTTATTAGTACAAGTATTTGCAGTTTTCACACGTTGGTCAAAAAGGTCGTTAGGATACTTTCGCTCTAGCTACTTATTGTTCTGTATCATTCACCTAGAGTAACACTTTTTGTCTTCCTGTGGGAAAGATAACTGCAAGGCCATCTGTAGTATTAGAAGATAGAGAGTTTCTTTTCCACTAGTATCCAGGTGATCTCTTATGGTTAAAACTTCTCTTATGTTGCATTGGGATTGGCCATCACGTGTTTATCGCTACTCGCTCTGAGTAAGTCTGATGTTAACGAGGTAAGTAAGTAACGTGAGGTTTACTAGAGCAAGTTCATAAGAACGACAGTCTAGTACAATATCTTGATCGAGTAAGCTTGAAACCCTGACTCTCCAGTAGGGGGCGACTGTCCGTTGTGACAAGTATAGTAGATTCTCACTTCGGCTGTACGTTTGTGTTCGGCCTCTCTTTATTTCTCGCGAATTCAAATAGTCAAAGAATGCGGAATTACTTCCCAGTCCTGAAGAATCTCCTGTTATTTTGCGAACTGGTATCGGAATGTAGTCATTGCTGTCTGAATGTACCACAATGACTCACTCTTTAGTAACTGATTCGTCAACCTACTTGTTGGTGTCTACAGACCGAAATGTGATTGGGTCATTGATGTTGACAGAAATAAATATGTACTCTTATATATATAGTAAGTTATATATATATATGTGTGTGTGTGTGTTTGTGTACACATTTATATCTGTAGTATAATGTATTGTAGTTGCTATGTGTGAATTTCTATTCCAGACATGACTCCAAAAATATAAACAAGATTGAAATAGCGATATTTAATATATCTGTTTAAGTATATTATCTGTTTAACTATATTATTAAGTCGGGGCCTCTCATACGCGTGCCAAAAATAGGTTTCCGTTTTGATTATGCATGTGACTAACGGTTGTCTGTAACTTCTAGCAGTATGTCGTACCAGTTATTTCATATACACGTGGTGAAGTGGGAAACACACCTGACATGATAAAAACAATCCCGCTTGTTGGGCGTAAACACGCGCCTAATCCCAGGAAATGCGCCCGTTACACAACATTTGTTAGTGTTTTACCTTTACCTGATTATTTGCTTTTTTTTCGGGGGGGGGGGACTTTGCTCTGCCTGTACAAAAACACCTTCCAACGTTTCTTTTTTCTTTCTTTCTTGTTATATGTAAATCAGTAAAGCTAGTACACTTTGGACTAGTTTTGGTGTAATACAAGCAAAATGGTTGATAGATTTAAAATTGGTCCCTTATATATAAGTTAACCCTGAGGCGGGAAGGATGAAGAAATTTGGCATTTATTTCTGATTTCCCCAGGTTATAAACACACACAACTATATATATTAAACTAACAACGTTGATAACAAAAAGCTCAAAACTTCAACGTCCTATTTTCTGTGTCTGATCATTATTTCTTTTGCGTTTATGCTAAGTCATTCTTTCAAAGAAACTAGTCACTAAAAGATTGGTTTGTTAATTTGTTTTGAATTTCGCGCAAAGCTAAACGAGAGCTCTCTGCACCAGCCGTTCCTAATTTAGCAGTGAAAGACTAGAGGGAAGGCAGCTAGTCATCACTAACCACCGTCAACTCTTGGGCTACTCATTTACTAACGAATAGTAGGGTTGACGTCACATCATAATGCCCCTTGGCTGAAACGGCGAGTTGGGGATTCTAACCCGCGATCCTCAGATTGCGAGTCAAGCGTCTCTTAAACTTGATCACCTCATCACACAGCGTCAGTACAATTACTCATTCTGTGCCCTAGGGGGACGTTCCCTCTTAAACTTAATCACCTGATCACACAGAGTCAGTACATTTAGTTACTCTGTGCACTGGGGGGACGTTCCCTCTTAAACTTGATCACCTGATCACACAGAGTCAGTACAATTAGTCACTCTGTGCACTGGGGGACGTTCCCTCTTAAAGTCATCACCTCATCACATAGCATCAGTACAACTAGTCACTCTGTGCACTGGGGGAACGTTCCCTCTTAAACTTGATCACCTGATCACACAAAGTCAGTACAATTAGTCACTCTGTGCACTGAGGGACGTTCCCTCTTAAAGTCATCACCTCATCACATAGCGTCAGTACAACTAGTCACTCTGTGCACTGGGGGAACGTTCCCTCTTAAATTTGATCACCTGATCACACAGTGTCAGTACAATTAATCAAGAAGAAAGTGACAAAATGTTCAATTATTCTAAGAAAATCTATAGATCCACTAAACTTTGGAAATAAAACTGCTAACGATCAGTGTGTATGTTAGTATATTTCTTTTATATATTTTGTTCTCGTTTGTTTGCTGTTAAGCGCAAAATTACACAATGGACTATCTGTGCTGTGCCCATCACGGATATCGAAACCCGGTTTTTAGCGCTATGATCCCTCTCGCAAGGAGAATGAATTATCCAAATGTCGTAGTTTTGTTATGTTGAGTTCTTTTTCTGTTAATTAAATGTGGTAATCAACTTACGCGCTTACGAGGAAGTGAACATCATCAGTTAGTAAGTGGCCTCATCCACCAGGTGGCGCAAACAACCTTTCCTTGGCAAATTTTCACCCAAGGACGTTTCTTTTTTGATTTTTTTGGTGTACCACAAGAGTAATACTCGCAAAATTATCGTCCAATGAAACTATCCAGTAGGCTAAGATCGTGTACCTAGCGCAGGGGAGTAGGTAGTAGTCTATAACTGGATGTGTTATATTTGAAAAAGAAAAAAAATGAATGGCAAAACCATACTAGATGGCCTGGGGACGTGCCCCCCTTCAAAAAAAAATGTTTGTAATTTTCACTATAAGTGGTGAATTTTGATTGTATCCGAGGCTTTGTTTTTGATATTAAGTATCATTTCATACATATATAGTTTTTAACTTATGGAGTGCGACGCTCCCCCTCCCCCTCTACGCCCATGAAGTTCGTGCTATATGTCATTGACTTTGTCATGGGCTCGTGGCATTCATGAAATAGTAGGGAAGAAGTATCTGGAACAAGAAGATGGCGTCACGTGATGAGGCTTAACTCTCTCAGACAATGGTCATTCGAAACAAAAATCATATTTTAATGCCACATGTACAGCAGTTTGTCGTGACTTATACAGCTGTGTAACACAAAGTTAGAATTTAATTATTTAACACCAATATAGTTAGGGGAGTTTTGTATTTAAATTTAAATCCCTTTCTTCTACAGAAACATTTTAAGTAATTTACATTAAAGTCAATTGTTTATTCAAAAAAAATACAATATAATTTACCTTTCAGATCTTTATAATATTGGGGTGGTCGTTCGACCCCACCCTCCTGGCTAACGTCATCCAAAATTCTATATTACAATGGTGAACAACAAAACCCCGTGTCGAACGTTGTAAATGTTGACAATATTAATTATGCCTTTTCACTCTACAACAGGGATCCGATCATTCAGAAATTAGAGATCATCACAATATCCGGCAAACAATAAAAAAAAATCACTAAATTATCGTTGAAGGGCAGTTTTTTTACAGTTATTTTCATTGTTGTAGTTGTTATCCTCAGTAAGTATTGTATTTTATCTAACACTATTTGTTTCATTATTGGAACGGTTATCTTCAGTAATATCGTATTTTAGACTTAAATCTTGACATTAACAAGAGAAAGAACTCATTCTCTAATGAAGATTTCTTTGCAAGAGGTGAACCGATGAGTATAACTATTCTGCTATTAGAAAGTTGATGTACCGGTAATTTAAATACCCAGATTTACTGAGGATAACAACTCTAACAATAAAACTAACAGTGTAGGAGAAAATACAATACTTACTGAGGATAACAACAATGAAGCTAACGTTGTAGGAGAAAATACAATACTTACTGAGGACAACAACAATGAAACTAACATTGTAGGAGAAAATACAATACTTACTGAGGATAACAACAATGAAACTAACAGTGTAGGAGAAAATACAATACTTACTGAGGATAACAACAATGAAACTAACATTGTAAGATAAAATACAATACTTACTGAGGATAACAGCTCCAACAAAGAGACTAACAGTGACGCTAACTAATGTAGTGAGTTTCTGCAAAATAAAAATAAAACAAAATAAGTTGAAATTAATGTGGCCTAGATTGTTTAAAAATTGTTTTTCAGATTTAATCACAACTTTAATAAGTTGTCTTTAAGTCATCTTGCGTTAATATATATATATATACGTGATAATTAAAGAGTTCCGACTCTAGACAGGTTGGGGCCCAGAGGCAACATTCAGTAGGGGATCCCGAATCAGTGGACTTTGCTACGTACTCTGTCTCCTATTTGTCTGTTCTCCTTAAATACTGTTATAATTAGTGTCTAAAATGAAGACACGAAAACGTACGATTTTTTTCCACATAAAACTGGAAATGAAAAGTGCCCTATTGAAATCACATCGCTATTGTTAATAGCAAGTCTAAAAAATTGCTTATTACGTGATCAATGTTTGTGTGTTTGGAATTAAGCACAGAGCTACACAATGGGCTATCTGTACTCTGCCCACCACGGGTATCGAAACTCGGTTTCTGGCGTTATAAGTCCGCAGACACACCGCTGTGCCACTAGGGGACTACGTGATAAATGTTTGTTTGTTTGGAATTAAGCACAGAGTTACACAATGGGCTATCTGTACTCTGCCCACCACGGGTATCGAAACCCGGTTTCTGGCGTTGTAAGTCTGCAGACACACCGCTGTGCCACTGGGGGACTACGTGATAAATCATTAATTCATATTCACCTATAACAATAATAATACAAAACTATCTGAAGTGATGATTAAATTTGAACTTTGTGTGATATTAAGAACGAAGTCAGGCTCGAGTTGTTCACTTTACAGTGATACTTTATCTCATCGATCATCGTTACCCATTCTGATATCAGAAATTGAAATGACTAAACTAGGAAATAAACATAAAAAGGAGTCAGTTTCCAGTGACAAACGTTGCATCAAACACAATGATAAAGATCCACTGACCAAGCAAGTATAGAGAAATTGATGACATCATATTCAACAAGTCCAATCACCGCGGGATGGAGCACGTGGGGATTTACAGCTGATGTCAACGTTAAGTCTGGAGCCTAATCATTGTTTTCTTTGGGGGGGGGGGGGATAAAACTGAAATAGATGCGAGATTCAGAGCTTAGTTTAGTTACATCTAACGTTCTCAACATAACACACTACTTGATTACTTTCTTTTTTTCTGATTATTTAACTTTCTCATTGTTTAACTTTTTATTTTAAAACAAGTGGAGTATATGCTGTACGTTTATTGTTCGCATTTATCGCCAACAAGTCACAGACACTTATTGTAGAAGAATCTTAAATCCACTTACATATTTAAAACCCTCAAATTGTTTAACTTTTTGAAACGTTATTTTTTGAAAAACTGGGGGCTTCCCAAAATCGCAGCGTCCTGGGTTTTTGCCACCAGCCCTGATAGATACCGATCTCACCACATAGCCTCTGGCGAATTGAAAACTGGCGAAGCGCATCTGGATACATTTATAATATATATATATATATATATATATTGTTGGTTAGACAGGAGACGTGTTTGCTTCTCAGACACTTATTTAGTAAACCATATATCAACCACGCACGTAAGCCTGGGGGGGGGGGGTTCATCCGAACCCCCTATTTTTGTGATGTAAAACAAATACTGCCACTAAGCTCATGTTAATGTGAACGTTTCGTCATCTGCTCTCCGCCGATTGAATAATTACCCGAGGTGTACACAAACCTAAGAATTACTGAGTGCTCTAGCTTTAATACATAATCATTATGACACTGCTATCAACGTTGAACCTGTAAGTTATTTATGGGAAAACACCCCAGAAGAATGGAGCATGCTAACACGTTATTTCAGTAGTGCATACATGTACGCATATGATAGCCTATTATTGTACAGAATTGTTTAATTAAATAAATAATTTAATTTAACAGTTAATAACTGCTGCCCATGTAGATAGCACAGTACTTTACTGTAATAAAACATACATATTCATGTTAATTTGCAACTATACAATTGTTTAAGCTGTAATTCATCCAACATTTCATCAAGATTTAATCTCGTAGCACCAATTCTCGGGG